TCTTTCACATTTGAATGTTTTAAAAAAAAAACATGTATTAGCTGCTATACTGACATGCACATATGTATAATTATATTATTATTTTAAGTGTGGTTTAAAGTTAAATGATATATAGTTATTGGGTAGAGCCAAGTAACCCAGGTGGATGCAATCAGGCCTCTGTTTTTAGATGGGGTTTGTGGCCATGCTGTAGGCCTGACATTTAAACCATAGACCATATATATAAAGATTTAAACTAGCTGAAGGGCTTTCTGTTCGAACCACAGTGACATCTAGAGGTTGTTTTGTGCATAACATGTCAACCAAAAAGGTAGAGCTGGCTGAATCAGATGGAGTTAAACTTTTTTTTTTTTCAACAAGATATCAAGACACAAAATGTGCTCTACCACATGGTGGCGCTGGCAGTTAAAGGGTTACCTTCTGAAAGTGAGGAAGTATGACCAGCTTTGTCCCATAGGATTATACAGGCCAGTCCATTGCTGCTTGTTTAAGGAGTTAACTATTTCCAATATTAAAGTCACTGAAATTGTATTCTATTTTATTCACCTATAGACAAACAACACAACACTCCATGATGGAGCACGCCCAGAGCTCAACAAATTGGACTCGGACACCTTCCAGTGTCCATTTTGTGAAAGGACCGGGTCATACCCTGGTCTGATGGCTCATTTGCAGAGCCACCAGAGGGCACTTGTGAAATATGGAGGTAAGTACATCTATAATTCTATATGATCATTGTATACTTCATCACATTACATTACTTGTTACTTGTTAGATGTGTTTAATGCCTCACACATTATGGATACATGTGTTATTTCTGTGCCCCAGGACATCCTTGGTGTAAATTCATTTTGAATTATAAATTGAACATTAAAAATTAGATTTATATTCAGGTTATGAAGTGTTAATAATGCTGGAAAAATATCCTTATTTGGGGTAGGCACAATATGAGCATAATCACACATTCAATCTGCAAAAAATCAGTTTATAGGCAAAAATATTATTGTTGGTGACATGATTATTTATTGCTCTCGCACAAACACCTTGTTTCAAATTGCATATTTACAAGAAATTCATGTTGGTTTGTTTCTAGAATCCTCTAAACCACTTTCTGTCTCTTTTTTTTAGGTTATAATGTTTATAAATGCCATCTCAAATGTGTGGCCAGCAGCCATTATCACTGTGGCTTTTGCCCAAGAATCATTGGGAGAAAGGAGATGTTTATTAGTCACTTTAAAAACTGCTGCACTGAACATCCAACTACGTTGGCGGCGGCCCCAGCAACCACAACGACTCCTCCAGTGATGGCCCCGACGGCCGCTCCAGTGATGGCCCCGACGGCCGCTCCAGTGATGGCCCCGACGGCCGCTCCAGTGATGGCCCAGACGGCCGCTCCAGTGATGGCTCCGACGGCCGCTCCAGTGATGGCTCCGGCTGCTGCAGCAACATGGCACAATATTTCCACAGCCCCCAACATTTTGATGTCAAAGCGCAAAACCACAACATGTTGTTTTTGTAGCCTACAACTAAAAAGGAACATTTTTCACATGATGTTCTGTTCAATAAATGTTCATTGAGGAAAACGGTATCAGTGTCTTATTGTATATTCATCACAGTGAATGCAGTGCATGCTGAACTTGCCGGACCATATACTGTAGTTGAAAGTACACAATGAAACACTGGCTTGCTTGTATCAAATCAATACAATTCCCACATGCCCTACCCCGGAACCTGCGGTCTTCAGACTCTGGCCCCCCGCACCAACCTGCGATCCTTCGGGGACAGAGCCTTCAGTATGGCAGCCCCCACTCTCTGGAACGCTCTCCCTGCGGAGATCTGCAACATCCCCACGCTTGACGCCTTCAAAAGGGCCCTCAAGTCTGCCAAGGTCTTTGGCCCCAAATCTATTTGTGTTGTCTGTCTAACTGTTCGTCTAACTGCCTTTAGTTATGTTTGTTTCTACTCCTGTTCTTTTTAAAGCGACCTTGGGTCTCATGAAAGGCGCTATATAAATCCAAGTTATTATTAATACATCATTGGAACGGTAAGAATCTCAGCTACAACACTGACTAAAGCCTTCCCATCTCCAGTATGCCTACATGACAAGCATTTTTATAATATACAGTAAACATATCTTTGACTTATTAGAGAAGAGACAATCATCAAGCCAGATACCAAGGTATTTACAACAGGCAACCACTTCAATTACTTTTCCTTTATGTTATTGTTATTTGGTTTTTATTAGTGCTTTTGTCGTTTTGAAGGAAATTAAAATACTGTATTGAGTTGGTTTCTTCTGTTTTGGAAGCCTTGTATATCTTTTTGGTCTTGTTAGAAATACCCCATGGTAAAACAGTGTTCTAGCAGCAGTTAAAGAAGCTTAGTTTGCTGTCTTAGACTGCCAGTTGTATTAAGATGGTTTGTTCACAATTTACACATAAAACCTAAATGTTCATCTGTTTATTGTTCTTCTTCCTTTATATTCAAAGCATGTTGATTGTCTATTGGCTATCTTGACATTATGTTAATTTGATCATACTTGCCATACATTTATTTTAATTTATGCGATTCCTTCAAAGGTTTTGTAATAGACCCCTAGTACTTTTAATTTATAAAGTAATAATAATACATGTGAATGATTGAGCTCATTAGTGGCCTGACTGGCCCTCCTAATTTGTTCCTTAATGACCCCATGATGTGATAATGTATATCTTAAAACCTTTAACAACTATATCTAGATGTTCACAAATATCTACATTTATGTATAAAATACATGTGTAGCAGTTAGACAAACATAATCAATAGATCATCTCATTAATACCTATTTTATATATTAAAAAAAAGTTGACTAAACCACCGTTTGTTGACAAAATGATTTGGGTTGAAAGTTATACTGTTGTGTCTCAAACGGATAGACTAGGTTATTAATTTATTTGCCTAATAGTTGCTTAAAATGCTACAATAACATTTGCAATTCGTTTTTAATCTGCCATGTACGATCTCAATAATAATCAGTGTCGTCAATTCGCTTTTAATCTGCCATGTACGGTAATGTCTCTCAGCCACCGTAGTGTCGTGTCAGGTGGGCGTGTCGTGTAGTGGGCGTGTCGTGTAGTGTCGTGTACTGTCTGTGGCCGCAGCTAGACCATATTGCGTTTTGGGGAGGTATTTTCTGTGTTAGAGTTTTACTCGCTACAGGGTGTACTTTGAGGGTTTTGACTCTGCACACCGTTTACATGCATAAAAACCTTCATAACACACAAGGGGACGGGTAATAACCGGAAAAGCATGACATGGGAGCTTTAAAATAATACTTCTGCATACAGTATGTGACACTGTGAGTGTTGCACGGCCAGATACAGCTCAAGAAGCTGACTCAAATAAGGAAATATATGATACATTATGATGTGATATGATATGCACTCACAGTGCCGCGGACTGTACTTAATGTTACTCTGATCCGGTTACTTATGTCGTGGCAGATATTTAAGTAAGCTTTCTTAACGCTAATATTATAATAGTCAGATTGCTCTGAAGATGGGAGGGGATATTCTATTAATTTTCACGGCCGTCTTTCCTGCAACGGCAGTTTTTCTGTATTTCCTCTATCCTGTAATATGAATTGATCGCTTTAAACTCCGCACACGGAGCTCTGATTGGTCAGCAGGCGGTGCTTTTACTGAGTTGATCTCTTAGCCTGCCACCTAACCTGCTCCGGAGCAGGTTTGCCGCTCAGCATAAGTTACCATGGAAATCTAGCCTGCTAAAAAGAGAACCAGCGTCGTAGGACCGGAAAGCCCGAGATTTCCCTGAATTTAGCCGGCTAAGAGAAAATCCAGCTTCGTAGTACAGGCCTCAGGTGTACAGTATATCAGTATGTAGTGTCTCTACTTTAAAGAGTCCTCTCCTGCTGATGTTCAGGTGTACTGTATATCAGTATGTATACACTATATACACAGTAGCCTATGAGCAGTATGAACAGTATTAACAGTGTGTATGAATATGCTAAAATATATAAAGTATGACAACGGTAAGCAGTGCAAGTATTGTATAAAAATATATAGATATTAATTTCATGATGATAAACATTGTGGAACAATGATGAAAAATGTGAATGGAAGTGGCGACGTAAAACTGACACAAAACAACAACACACTTTTGCCGAACCAATGGAGAGTTTCATCACCAGCACGGGGTAAAAACCACCAATGAGCGCTCAGCTCGAGATACCAGCGAGTCGTTTCCCATCAAGCATTTCGCTTCCGCAGCCCGGAGAGAAACTGCGCCGCCTCGCTCTCAAGTCTGCGGGCGTCTTTGTCCCGCGAGAATTCAACGTCTCATGTAGGCGAGCCTTCAGAGCAAGTCGGACAAAATGACTAACCATCATGCAACGCACTAGCAAGACGTTGATCGCAATTGCGCAGGTCTGCGCAGGTCTCGCTTGTCTCAAACAAGCCTAACAAATGTCATCTGTGGAAGCCGTAGTACTGTAAAAAGTACGACCAATCATTTTAGCCGGCCCGGCTAAAATAACTGGATGGCCTACCTGCCTGTCAGCCTTCCATCTGTGCACAAACTTATCTCGTGCCCTCATTGGTCATGTGCGCGTTCGTGTGTGTTGGAGGAGGGGCTCTGTAAGGAAGTAGCAGATTTCTTCCGGCTGTGTATTTTCAAATTCTAGCACACTCGAGCTGGTTTCTCCAAAATTACCTACCCCACCTTTAAAGAACGTGTATTAAAAAATTACCACAGAATGAAAACAAAAATGTTGCCTTAAGTTTCTCGCTATAAATGTAGAAACCTTGATAGAAACCTGTAAAATCAGAAAGTAAACCAGCTGTTTTTTTTTTTTTAAAACGACAGACTCCATAACATTTCCCTATGTTTATAACGGCAATACATACACTGTACCAGGTGATGGCAGTAATGCATCATTGTTGCTTGCCAACCGCAATAAAACCCAGAGAAGAAGAATAAACGGAGCGAACTCCTGCGGTGATTGGACAAAGAAATCAGGTGGTTAATACGTCATACCCAGAAGAATGACATGTTTGTTTATCGTTGCTAACATTCAGGTAAGAGGAGCTCATTTGTAAAGTAAGGATGATAAAATGTTAACTTATTCTCTGCTAAAGCATGTTATGTCTATTTCTATAATTCAAAGAAAGATTAAGGTCATGCTAGCGTCAAACTTTAGTCGCAGCCGAGCCTCTATCACTGTATTTAAAATAGTCTCTTTATTTAAACATCAACAACAGCAATGTTAATCTTGCCGGTACATCTGTAATAGTTTGAGCTTCTATTTAATATATTAAATATTTTAGTAATTGTTTTAGTTTAACTTCGGCTCTTTGTGCTTGCTCAAACATTAAACTTCATAGTTAACCATTGTAGTTTTTGTTTCATGAATGTCGGTCTGTTCTTTAAATGTCTTTTAGTAAATATGTTAATGTTAAATTATGTGTCACACATTTTGTCAAATCCTTTTGTGTCTGTTATTGAACTTAGTGCTTGCCATTCAGTAGGTTCTGGCTATTTTTACACAATTAAAGACTTCAGTGTGAATGAAAAGTAATGTCAATCTCATAAAATATGAAATAAATAAATAATGACGTAAAAAAAAACTTCAATATAGCAAATCAGCGGCTACAGGAAATATAAATGTAACGAGACACTTTCACTCTCGTTTTTCACAAGTGTATTCATATCTCTGAGAAATTGATTATAAATGACTAAGTATTCAAATGTGTTAAAGACTTATGAATGTGAAATAAACTAACTAAAAGTATAAGACTTGTTATGTTTTTCAAAGGTTTATTAGTACATATACATTTAACAATCCATTAGTTAACAGGTATTGATTAGCAACATTTCACTTTCACAAGTTCTGCCAAACTCTCAACCCTAAATGTTAAATATCAGCTCTGGATTTTCATGTTTTTGACAATTGAATATGCCAGAAAAAGAAGTTGTCGTGAACCTTCAGTATCCGTCCGTCTGCAGGTATCTTAATGCAAAGAGGACAAACGTTGGTGGGACCAAGATGGCATCGTACTTTGATGAACACAACTGTGAGCCCACCAACCCCGAGGAGCAGTATCGCCAGAATGCACTGCTTGAATTGGCCAGGTGAGAAACATTGTGGACAATGTGTGTACACAGTGTGTGTATATATACACAGTGTTTAGATTGAGTGTTGGTCTGTGTGCAGGTCTTTGATGCAGGGCTTGGACTTATTTGACTCCGGTGCGTTCGACTTGTCAGACTGGGACCAGCGTCTTCCTCCTCCGGCGGCCAAAACTGCTGTTCAGACGCTCACTGTGGTCATCATCTCTCCAGAGCAAGCAGGTGACACACTTTTGCTCCGGTAGAAGCAAATGGATGGTTAGGATGTTTTTGAAAGAACGCTTGTATGAGGTACCTATCCATATTTAGTGTATTACCTAGAGCAGATGACTTTCACTTAAAGGTGCCCTATCATGCAAAATGCACTTCTTGATGTCTTTTATACATAAATATGTGTCCCCGGTGTGTCGGGGAACTCACAAAGTGTCAGAAAACAAAACCCTCACTTTTCCTCCGTACCCAAATCTCCAAAAAACGGTGGTACAACAGAGCTGATCCAGATTTGCGTCCGATATGACGTAATATCGGAAAAGTGGACCCACGGCACTAACAGAAACGTTGCTATCAGAAACAATGCGCAATGTATTTTGGACGTAATATGGTCTTTGTTTACATTAGCAAGCCTCGCTAACACTGAGAGCTAACCTGTACTGGAGAGAGTATGTGTCAAAAAGCAGGAAATAAAAAAAGGAACTCACCTTGTACTAAACCCGTAAGAAAAAAAGCATTTGAGCTCCATACTGTTTCAGAAATAATCCTTGAAGTGGTTTGGAACATGATATGGCATTTAATCATTGGAGCATTTAGCTTTATCTGAGCAGAGCAGAGAGCCTGCTCGTCACAGACCTCACTGCTTGCCTGGTGATCAAAAGGGGGCGGGGCCAGCAGCTACTGACCGAGGATCAGCCATTCTCTAACAGGGCTGAAACAGAGCAGAGGGATATGAGGGATGTTTCGTATTTTGAGCAAAACACATCATAGACATATTTTTTATATATTTGTATATATCTGAGACCCATAATATATGCCTAAAAATAGCATGATAGGAGATCTTTAAACAGACCTGGAAGTAAAGAAATGTACTGCTGTGAAAAACTGACAATCAATCTGGTGGCTTTGCAGATTGCAGAAACACGGCTGTCTGACCACAAGTTAAAGCGTTGAAGTACTCAAAAAGTATATATTACTCAAACTTAAATCCATTAGTATTCTGGTTTGCTGCTGCCCATGTTGAAAGCAGTATAATGCTTTTTTTGGTACTGTTACTCCTGTCTGTTTGTCCAAACTGGAGACGTCTACTGCTACTGTAGGTAGCACTGACTATGGATATGTTTCTCATACAACCCCACTTCAAAATGTCTGTTTTTAAATGTAACGAATGTAGAGGAAGGAATTGATGATGGGAGAGATAATGCTTGGTGAAAGTAGGGTGGGATTTATTCAATGTTTTCTTTTGTTTTTTTGTTCCCACAGACAAAGGTCTGAAGTGTCCTGTGTGTTTGCTGGAGTTCGAGGAGGAGGAGTCCGTTCGGGAGATGCCTTGTAAACACCTTTTCCACTCGGGATGTATACTGCCGTGGTTGGGAAAGGTAAAGCTTCACATTTTCTATTTCAGAGTTAAATTCTTGATCGTAAATGGAAACATTTGAGTGGCTACGTAGAAATCCTTTTGAATCTTTTTCATGTTTACAACCACAGACTAACTCCTGTCCGCTCTGCCGACTTGAATTACCGACTGATAATCCAGAGTATGAGGAGTTTAAAAAAGACAAGGTGAGTGTGTGAATATCATTTTTCATGGTACATCCTCATCTTTTAGCTGTGCCTCTCTCCATGTGGCATCAGTCCGTGGTTCCAAAGTATGTTTGTGTCCTGCAGGAGAGGAGAAGGCAGAGGGAGCACCGGCTGGAGGACCTCCATGGCTCCATGTACACATGACGAGACTCCGCTGTGGTACAAGTCTGTGGCACAGTGACATTTTACTGAAAGAATTTAATACAGAATGTGATTTCAAGCATGAGTGGGGAATAAACCCTTCTTTACCTTTTATATTTGTAGTCAGATATATACATTTAATCTCAAATATCCCCCATCAACAAAACTGCACACTTTAAAGCCACCACGCCTGGCACCGCTATCTAAATACAATACAATATTACAAATATGTATCATAATAACATCATTTGGTGTTAACACAAGGCTAGCCATTTGTGTGACCTTCCTGAAATAATTTGAAAGTTTGGATAAATGCTTCTTAGTGAGACTGATTATATTTTAAGATGAGTAAGCTTTTGATTCATTTCTGTTCAGATGCTTTATGCCTTTTAAATATAAATCTTTGAGCTTTAAACGCACAACTGTTCAGCTGTATTTGTCTGATTAATAGGAATTATTTAAAGACCCAAATATATTTGAATCAGTTACTCTTACACTTCAGCAATGCAGTATAAACAGTGTACACTTACACACATTATATGTGCTCTTTGAAGGCAGATCACAGGTAGGAATGTGTAAATGGAAGCAGAAGAGGCCGAGATATTCTGACCTTAAATCCCCTGTGAGGGTTGAACTCCAAAGATACTGGATCCTACATTTATCATCATGCATTTTATATTAACCCATTCCATTTCCTTAGTGAAAATCTGTTGAACCAGGGTATATTTATGTCATTTTCAACGAGCAGCAAGTGTTTATGCAAGCCATCCTTTCAGTTTTCTGCTCCACAGGTTGTTTCTGTTTTTTACAAATGTCCCTGTTGGCAGGTGTTACTGAAACGATTCCACAAGTACTGTATGATGTCATGTTTAAAACACCAACTTACCGTGTTATTTGTTGTTTATAAAAACACAGAAAATGCCTGTGTTTGAAGAACAACCCATGCAAAACATCTAACAATTTGTAATTGTTATTTCATATTTGAATATAAATCTGTCAAATGAAAATACCTTTAAAGACAAATCATACATATTTACAGAATTTATAAAAAGGAAACAAAATAATATCGGTTGAATTTTTTCTGACTCCATCACCACCACCCTCTTATTACATTTTTAAAGGCATGCACCGTTACTTCATTACTTACTTTTTGACATGATCAGGACATTTTATGCATACTATAATATCACTTTGAATGTATTTGTTATAAGATACAATACCTTTTTATAAAATGTTGAATGGCATACTATAGCATGTGAATGTAGCTGCAGGCTTTCTGTAAATGTGTCTCCAAAAAAAAGATGAAAAAAGCAGTCGCCATGTCGTTGTGTCCCTTTGCTAGACACCCTTTCTTTACTGTGGTGCGTTCTATATGTTTTTGTGCTTATAAAAAGGTCTGAAAAGGCTAAAACCCCAAAGCTATATGGCAGGACAGCTCTAGGCGGTTGCCCAATCACAACAGAGCCGGCCAGCTAACCAATCAGAGCAGACTGGGCTCTGGTTTCAGACAGAGGGTGAAAAGGTGCTTCAGTACAGGCAGAATGAGAAAAATGAAGAGCTTTTTCACACAAGCAATTTGTTAGTTTCAAAAACAACCACTGCCAAACATTTAATAATTTATCATTTTTATTTCATATTTGAATATAAATCTCTGTCAAATGAAAATACCCTAAATGATAGACAAATCATACATATTTACAGAATTTATAAAAAGGAAACGATAATCTGTGTTGACTTGTCTTCAGGGATTTCTCTGACTCCATTACCATTCTTTAACATCTTTTTCAAAGACTTAGGAAATATGAATACATTTCTGAATAGACATTGTTTCTGTGTTGAAGAGTTCAAGGTGTGTACAGGTCAGGCAGCCTTTCTTTATATAGGATTCTCCCACCAACATATGAAAGCTTAGGTGTACATTGTGAGAGACAATAAAAGCAAAAAGGTCAAATCCACCGTTAGGTTTTGGCTTCTGGAAGATGGCGTTATGTAAGAGATGTTACAGAATAAATCCAGCACTGATGTGAGGGCTCATACAAGCTGCCATTTGCAGTCACACCATGTGACTTTGTTACAGTTTGGTGAAATTGGCTACAGCTGAACACAAGATAAAAAGAAAGCAATATGATCATGTTCCCCTGGCACAGTACGAGGGATAAGGCTAAAACAGTGCACCCATAACGATTCATACACCTCCTGCTGACGCACAGAAAACCAATCAAATCTCCAGAGGACTCCCGTCTTTTTTGGCAAGATCTGCAGAACAACAGTCGCAGAAACAATAGCGAGATAAATAATTTGCACAGAAAGTAAAGAAAACTGACCTGACACATGATTACGCATCTGGTGTAACAGCAGACCCACAGTTTCCTTAAATGCAGACACTTTGGACTGTGGATTGCAGAGCCACCATAGCGTTAAATACTGTTCTCAAACTCTTCGCTGTGAGATGGAGACACATGTTGGAAGTCTAGCCTCGGAACATCAAACCCACAAAAAGATTAAAAGAGGTAGGTGATGTGACCTTTCTTTAAAAAAAGAGTGTGTATTGCTGGCATCAGTGGTTAGATAGTTAAAATGTACTAGAGGGCAGAATACTGTGTTAACAGGGAATATACTTCTCATTCATTTGACTAAAAAACATCCCAATATAAATTTGGAGGCATTGGTCAGCTTTAGTTTGAGCAGTGGTAGTTTGTGGCAGTCTGGTGTCAAGTATCACTTTAAAAGAAATTGGCAACAAGAAATCATACAAAAACATTCTTCACTCTACAACCTGTGTGGTATTATTGTCTGTTTGTAACACTGTGATGTCACCCTGGTAACGCCATGAGGTCTAAAAGCATCGGATACATGAACTTCCCCTAAAAAAAGGACTCATTTTGTAACAGAAAACCTTTTCTATAAAGTCAGATACGGCTTCCAAGGGTCCAGCCTGGAATCAAATCAGCGTGTGGGCGACAACTTTGTTATACTTTTAGTTGGATTATACATTTACCATCACTCATTTACTATAACATGTAGGTCACTTCAAAAGTCTTAGTGTCAACTCAAATACAAACTAAAACAAAGCCCTGGGTTCAATCCCAACACACTGAAAAAGGCATTATACACTCCAGCGGAGTGGAAATTATCTCATGATTGATGACAATTATTGCACCGGACATGACAGTCAATGGAATAAAAAAAAAAAGGGCAGCATGAAATGTAAAATGATACAAAGAAATCATGCGACAGGTGGGACGATACTGGAATAAGTCATCGAGGGGCTTCAGAAACTCTCAGTGATGCAGACCTCAGAACAGCTGCTGTGTTAACGTCCTTCACTCACATGATCTCCACAATGATAGTGGCTCCAACGATACATCGTTTGTAAAACAACTCAAAATACCATCAAAATTTGCATTCAAAATCATCTGTGCAATCAAAACAATATTGTCGATTGAAATCAAGATTTTTTTGCGAATCATTTGACATAATTACGTTGATTGATTTAAAAAAAGAAAAAGGCCATATGCTTAAAGCATGTAAAAACATAACGGTTAACTATTCACTTCTCAAACATTCAATATTATCCACTAACTACGCTAAATTTAAAAACATAAAACTGCTATTCTCTCATTCAGAAAAAGTGTGCCGTGCAGATACGCAAAAGGCCAAAAACAGGTGGGCCGTCCTAGTGTTTCGGGGGGGGGGGGGGGGGGGGGGGGACTTTGTGGGCACAACAGGTATGCAAAGTTAGAAAAAGGAAAAAGTGTCGCTCAGGAAATAAAAACAAATCAAACCGCCATCTTGGAAAACATTCATGGCTCCACACATTCAGCCTCTCTTTACAACATGGCTACAGGAAACTTCCCTGTAGCGGCGCGCGTCACCGTTGGAAACGAAGGGAGGGATAGTACAGCATTACAGATGGGTCACCTGGTGTAGGTCCAATGTTTAAACATGTCAGAGCCTCTCCTCCACCTCCGGCTGCAGAGCTACAACATCGCTATGCTCTCCGGCGTGCAGTTGAGGTGTGTGGAGGTGCTGCTCCCCCCGGGGGACTTGAGGCCTTTCGTGGCCCCTCCCAGTGTCGAGCCCCGTGCTCTGGGGCCCATGAGGATCCCCGAGCCGTGGTGGAGACAGTGCTGCAGGCCCGCCATCATGGTCTCGCTGGTGACGGTGCCGAACTCGTAGGTGAAGGTGCCGTAGAAGACCAGGATGTCCACCGTGAAGACCCACTCGCAGATGGCGGCGGCGTGCTGCAGGACGAAACTCTCGTGGACGAAGAAGATGCCGCCTGGGAGGAGGGGGGGTTAAGGTGGACAAACATCTGTGGGACATGCAGGAGGGAAATCTGAGCCTTCTCCTGTCACTGAATTTTCACACATACTTGCACTCAGCAGACACGGTGACATCTCACCTCTGCATTTTACCCATCCTAGTACCAGGAGCAGTGGGCAGCTATTGTACAGCTGCTATTGTACAGCTGCCCACCGCACCCTTGCTCAAGGGCACCACAGCAGGGCCCAGGAGGTGAACTGGGACCTCTCCAAGTACCAGTCCACACTCAATATTTAGGTCTGTTCGGGGACTTCAACCGGCGACCCTACGGCTCACAGTCCAAGCCCCTACTGACTGAGCCACTGCCGGACAGAGGCAGAGGAAGGAAGTACATGAACAATGTCATGAGATAAATCCAGGATATAATGAGATATATGACGAGGAGCTTAACCTCTGGATGGGAACTCATTATTTGATTAGAGTTCGATTGAAATTGTCTTTGCAGCTCTATTAAACAGATGTGTTTAAAAGGAGGACATGACTGCAGTATATTAACCTTTGATGGACAGTCGGATAATATTGAGAGCCTGAATGGTTCTCATCCCTGTCTCCCAACATCAGTGCAGTGGACATTGATTGGTGGAGGAGGGAGCAGTCGCCCTGGAAGCCACTGAGAGGCAGGCAGCACAGAGGCGGCTATGAAAAGTGAACCATCAGCATTGTAAGTGTTAAACCAGAGGGGGAGGTGAGGGTGAGGCCGGAGAGATGTTATCGCGGCCTTGAAGTTGAAGGACAATCATCTCTTTCTGTGCAGCCGTGTCTCGAGGCTAGAGGAGTGAGATGAGAGGAAACCAAGAAGAGTCTCTAATGTTTAACAGTGATCCCATGACGGCACAGTGGAGCCAGAACTGAGCTAACGGCCTGTGACAGGGCGGGACACACCAAACCTCACAAACTCAACCCTTCTTTCTGGATTGGATCAGGTTGTCACTATAGAGTTAACGACGGCTCCTGCTAGCAGGGATACTTTAATCCTTTACTTAAATACAAATACATAAAAAAGGTACTCATTATGCAGGATTACTCTTTTCAAAGTGTTATATTATTAGAGATTTTAATTCAGTGATTTTATTTCAGTGTTATCAATCACTAATACATGCAGGAGCATTTACATTTGGCCAACTCTGTATACCACTGGGTAGATAAGTAGTATATTATTCCTGCATCTTATAGTATGTTTTAAATGTAAAGCGTAACTGTACGTGCCAAATAACTGCTTTGGAGTAAAAAAGGGAAGATATCTCTCTGAATTGTAGTAGAGTAGGAGGATCAAGTAGCATTAAATGGAAAATACTCCATCCATCGTACTATAAATAAGTTTAGTAAGAGCAGGATATAATTGTTAATTTGAACAGATGTATTTAGTTACATTAAGTGAAGGATACTGAGGACGAGGGAGACCATGGCCCCCAGGGCCAGAGCCACTCTGAAATGGGCCATCCAGTAGTCGAGGGCAGTCAATGCCACCCGGTAGGTGAGCACACACTGCAGGCACACGAACAGCAGCCCCGCCGGGAACGCCACCCCTGCACCCACATAGTGCAGAGACTTGGCGTGATCCACCTGGAGAACAAGACCACTATCATCAGAAGGATTGAAGCTACAAACACATCAGGATATGATCTACTGGACATTTTACATTCTGTTTGATCCAATTCTAACATGTATACATTTGTCCTATTCCTGCATCTTACTTGCACCATGATGTCTCTTTTCTTTGGTTTCCTTCATGTCTTAAGTATGTTGCATTGTTGGAGGGTCCTGGGACTTGCTGAACCTGCCCTGTAGCTTTTGTGCATATGACAATAACAACTTTGAATCTTGAATATGTACCTGGAAGTTTCCCACCATGACCAGGCCCACGGCGTTAGTGCAGCCCGACACCAGAGCGCTGGTGTTGATCCAACACTGGTGGCTGTGTTCGATCACCTGGGCGTAGCGCAGGAAGCACACCATCACCACTGCAGGACACACAGGAGGACACACACACAGTTACAACACACAAGAGAGATACTGCACAATAGAACTATTAACCTTTGTTTTTTAAAGAAAACAGAGAGGAGATGGAACATTTAAATCAACATGGTTCAGTTGATTTCATTATTGTAGGTAGTGAAATGGATTTGAGTGTTTCAGTTTTTATACTGCATGGGGAGATTTTAAGGTAATATACACTTTTTTCAGATTTCAAAATCCTTTAAACGTGACCCTTTCTGATTTATAGTTTGATCCAAAGCTGGAGGATTGTCATGTGACTCCATTCTGCTAGACCATCAGATTTCTTTTTGCTGTCGGATGTTGCACGAGGGGGGGCTTTTCAGGACAGGTTTAGCAGCGCTGTTTGAAAACTACAACCCTGCAGGATGCTGTCTGTAACTGAACCACCAAGTCAGTAAAACACAGATTAACAACAGTAGGGGATGAAAACTCAAATAAAAAGCATCAACTTTAGAAAGGTGAGTTGAGAGAATAACAGACAGAAATGAAATGTGGAAATAAAAATGAAATGCAGCATAAAAGTCTGGAAAAACTTACGTTTTTTTAACAGATCCATAATGAAAACACCAGTTGAGATGCAATTAGAGATAAAGCTTGTGATGACAAAGGGCAGGAGGGGGAGGCGCAGAGGAGGAAGGCAATGGAGGGGACACAGGGGAGAGGAGGCAGAGGACACAGTGGGAAGTGGAAGGGAAGCCGCATTCATTATTGATTAGAGAGCACGGGCTATTTCAAGGCCTTCAGCTCCTCTCAGCTGACTGAGAGTCTGTGGGCACCACGGAGGTTAATATGACACGTAATGGACATCAAACACCTCGGCTGTCCTCAGTCAGTGCTGCGTGTCAAAGGACAGAAGGCAGCAGTCCTATTTAGCGTAGAGGAAATCACCCATTTGTTCCATGATTATCAGTATACTATTTAATAAGGAACTGTTACAGAACGTTCACCCCAGTACATTGTAGCATTGATGCCAACTCTTTGTCTTGCTAAGAGTTAGATGAGAAGATCAATACCACTCTGATAAATGTGAACACTGAAGCTACAGGACAGTAAGCCTAGCTTGGCCCAAAGACTGGAAACATCAAGGCGGATGTTTTATCAGATGGTCAAAAGTCCACCTCCCAGTACCTCAAAAGATCAGTAATTAAAATAGTACACGTACAAAAAATAAAGAGTAAATACAAGAAAATGGCTGTCTTGTGTTAAATTACGTGCTGAAGCTCCTTTATATATACACTATGGTCTACTCTACACAGTATTTATGACATACTATACTATGACTTTTGTTTTAACTTTAAAATGACAAGCTATAATCTGACATTGTGTTGTAGAGACATAAGAGTGGATTTAAACTCATCATCAACCCACGGCAAATAAGCGAAATGGCAAATATATTCCTACATACAGACAGAACCCAAGCACACGCACAATTTCTATTAATCACAGAACTACATGGTTATAATTCCAGTTAAAACGATGCCTTACCCATGAAGGCCCCGACGTTGCCGATCAAGCTGAACAGGCAGCTTTCAGGAGGGAAGGAGCCACATTTACTGGAGCAAATGAAAACAAAACAGCTGTTAGTATTAAAGGTAGTAGTATAACCTATACCTAAATATAGCTCCGTCCTTTCACCATCTGTCTGTACTTCTACCAAGACATACAGTATATGAACATTCAGAATGAATATGAACCAATGAAGTCATTTTGATTACTCATGAGTTACGTGAGCGTCCTTATTCAAGAATATGATGATATCTATGAGACCTTTCCTCTACAAACACTGGAGAAATGTCAGTTGGTCTCATGATGCCTTTTTACAAGAGTGCTTTTGTGCTTGCCCGTGGTTAGAGGCTTATTTGCAGATTAAACTAATGCAGTTTATGCAGAGTGTGGGTTAATGACTGTGACCGAGCCACAACATAACAAGGTGCTAATTCATGCCTCAGGGCTTTTGCGGACACAAAATGTGTTTCTGTGTTCTGCAGAAAGGAAGAATATCTGACCTGATGAGGGGGATGTCCTGGATGGTGCAGCACGTCTTGGGGAAGCCTGGTCGAGCCAGCTCCTCTATGCACGTTACATTGTAAGACCTGCAGCAGACGCACAATTTGTTCAGTACATGTTCTAATGATGTGGAATCAGACTGTGTCCACAATCTGGGATAATAAGGGCCTGGTGCCCCTTTCATCAGATCAAGAGAGGAGATTCACTCACCAGTTCTCCACAGGACAAACATGGTGATTCATCACAGCCATGGCGTAGCTGAGGGGCAAGAACACAGAAGTGGCAAATGTCAAACACGGGGTACTGATCCCTGATGACACAAAGTGTTATCAAGAAACTAGATTACACTGGGCTTCAGGGAAAAAGGTCATCCAGCGTGAAAGGATGTTCACAGGAGCATGTGAAAATACTCAAACATTGCTTGACAGTGTGAAGATTTCATATCTGAGCATCAACACATTCCCTTATGCATCGCTGTCTTTTATTTGTTGATCATGTAAATATCTTGTGATTAGAGCTGCACCCATTGCAGGTTTCTTGGTCCATTCCTGATTTTATAACACTGACCTGCTGATTATGATATTTTTACTTTCAAATAACTATTCCTGCCAGCATACACCAACATTTTTGTACTTTTTCGTTAATGGAAAGTAGGAGTTCAGATGGTTATTCATAATAAAACACTTCTTCCTAAATAACCAAATTATTACAAAACTGTCCTATCACTCTCACTGAAACAAATTTCAAAATAAAAGAGTTTGAGGTTAGTGGACAAATAAAATACAAGAAAAAAATAGTTTTTCTTTCCGCAGATGAAAACAGATGCAACTGTTTTTATAGCAACATACTTACTGTCATTTCCTCAACAGCTTATTTTGGATTTACAGGTGTGACAAATGAAAAGCTATCGATCGGTGCATCTCCACGGTGATACCCAGTTACACACCCCAACAAAGAAGGCCCTCACACAGCCCATGTGATGCAGGAAGTGTACACTCACACTATCCATATCCCTGTGATGGAGAAGGCAGACAGGCTGACAGGCAGGACGATCCAGGCAGTCATCGGGCTGGCAGTGAGCGGACTTTGTTCCAAGCATGGGGTGAGAGGGGGGCTTCGGGCTGGAGTGGCGACACGACAGGAGGGATCAGGTGGGGGGCGGGTGGGGTGTGGGGTCACTAACACACAGGGAAACACACAGGGGGGGACATGAGAGGAAAAAAGGGGGAATGGCACAGCTATTCTGCTCCACAGGGCCCTGCAGCCAGCAGCAACCTGCAACGAGAGGGGAGGGTTTCATTAGATATTATACACACTCAATCAAACTGCACTGATCTGTACACATCAGGAGTTACTGTGTAAGGAAGGAGCGCTGCAAAGATCAGTCAATCAACAGAAAAAGTAACTCTAGAACAAATCACCTCTGGCTGGCAGAGACCTCTCTGCTCCATAGCTTCTCGTAATAACTGGACATTTTACATTCATATTCTATTTCATTTTTGAATAATCCTTTCTTGCACAATAATATCCTGCATTGTATTTGTTACTGGAAATTTGTATTTCCACTTGTATACATTTATTTTATTTTATATTCTTTAACTTTTTTTAATGCTATTTTATTTCTATTTCTGAAATATTTTGGACTGTTTATTTCTTGTGTCTTCATTTCTCTTATGTACATTGCCTTGTGTTTTTTACGCTGCTGCAACGCAAACATTTCCCAAATTGGGATCAATAAAGTACCAAATATCTATCTATCTAAAAAGAATTATTATTATTAGAAACATTGAGTTATTGTTAAATTAGCCTCGTTTTTCATACATGTAAATAGCAAGAATGCTTCTCTTCAGCCCCTCCAATGTGGAGATTGGCCGTTTTCTCTGTTTAATACTTTAAGTAAATATCCTTAGGTGTTGTACTGACAGAACAGGACATTTAAAGACATCACCTCTGACTCATTGAAGACATAATTGTAAGTTGTTTTGTTTTTCTAATGCAGCAGAATGGGACTATAACTGCATTTCATTTCATGAAATGTTAAATGAAAATAAATAATCATGTCCTTTCAGCCCAGAAAGGAAGACTTGGATTTGACCATTTTGTCAGTGTCCGATTTCCCAGTCTGTCTAATTGTGTTTCTCAGTCATTAATTGCCCCCACTGCCACTTAAAGCCAGTTACTTGTCGCTCAAAATGCAATATCGCAGCTCCATTGGGTCCATCTTGCCGTGACGTACAAGTTCACTTTAAAGAATGAGAAACAACAAAAAGCTAATTGCGACACAGACAAGTTGACAGTTGACATGCCGATATGCACGTCGTATGTTGTGTGTCTGCGTGACAGTAAGTTACTAGTAAGACGTCTGCATGTTGCAAAAACATTTTCACATCACAACAAATCTCTTCTCATACTGTAATTGTAATGAGTTGAATTGGTGTCTCAACTAAAGAGCAGAGTATTGGACAATCTGAGCCTCTTGGATACTGCTCACTCTTTCATTGTTAAACTATAACATCGGTGGAAAACTGTTTTTAGGAAAGAGAAACTCTTGCAACTTGATTCTGAACAGATAAAACATTAAGCTGGTGTTGACTGTAAATGGTTTAACAAATGTTTTACATAATAAGGAAGAGCTGAAATGATTGGTCAAGCGATGGAAAAAAGACCAACATTTTTACAATCGACTAGGTTCATTCAAAACATTTCAAATATGATGATATATGTGGGTTTTGGACTGACAACACAAGACATTGCAAGACAACACCTTGGTCTTTGTTGAACTGGGATGAATAGTTTTCACTGTTTTATGGATTTTACTGACCAAATGATTCATTCAGAAAAATAGGCGGATTATTCATAAATAATCATGAGTTGTTTTTCTTTTGCAGCCAAATGAGAGCATAACTGCATTGTGTTGCAAAACCATGTGTTGTGCAATGACAATAAATGATCCTTGTAGTTGCAGACATTAAAACGACCTTTTTATGAGTGTGTGAGGTTTAAAATCTAGTGTTTACTGTAAACGGTTAAGAAAGGGGATCCATAAACAGAACGGACCAGTAATGGGCATTAGACTTGTTTACGCTAGCTTGTTTTATCTTTTAAAAAGGTGACTTCTTCTCTGACACACAAACTGTGAGTCAGAAGGACAAGCACCTCTTGAAGAGAAATAAGCGGCTAAAGGGTCCTCTTGTGAGAATGAGGACTCAGCCAAGGTCAGCTCCGTGGTGGAGGTGGAACAACACGGATCATTTTACACAGGTAAGTGTGTCCTCTGCTCAGTGGGAATATACAGTGCACAGGATGAACTCGTCATGAACTCATCCAGATGAAAAGGAGCCCTTGAATTGGAGAGGGGTCAAACTTACAAAAAACTATCAAATAAAGCAGTGTTAAACATGATATATTATAATAACTGTCTTTTGTGATTGTTGAAAGGTGTAATAAAGCTGGACACAACCATTTAGAGCACGCCTCTGGTCTGTGTTGAATCAGTGGTGTTGGGGTGTCTAATTTCAACAGTTTTAGATGCTTTAAAAGCAACAAACTTACTCAGGGTGTTAATGGAAGAGTTTGAAATCAGACAGAGGTGGAAGAAGTACTCAGATCTTGTGTAGGAATACTCTGTTACAGTAAAATTCCTGCATTCAAAATGTTACTCAAGTAAAATTAGAAAAGTATTATCAAAATATAGTTAAAGTACCAAAAGTAAAAGTAGTCATTGTGCAGATTGGTCCATTTCAGAATAATATATATGATATGTTTTATAATGATTGATTATTAAAGTGTTCTCAAAGCTGGTAAAGGTGCAGCTAGTTTGAATGACTTTGTATACTGCAGGGTAGCTTGTGAATTTACTCCAGGTGGAACTAAAGTCTGATTTAACACTTGGTTATATTTAACATCATTTATCCAGATCTGTAAAGTAACTAAAGGGATTAAATACATGTAGTGGAGTACAAGTACACCATTTACCTCTGAAATGTAGGAGTAGAAGAACAAAGTAGCATCAAAGTCAAGTAAAGTACAAATATCTCAAAATTGTACTTAAGTACAGTACTTGAATAAGTGTACTTAGTAACTTCCCACATCTGAAATCAGAGTATTTGATCCTTCAACTTGGCCTCAGGAAATGCAAGGACTTCACAGTTTTGGCAACAAGTTTTGGAGAAAGCAAATCGGAGGCTTAAAAAGAGACAGGGAGGTGCATCTTCATCGTCTTCATCATCTAGCATGCAAGAAGTGTAAATAGAGGACAGTGAAGGAGACACTGAGGAGGACCATGCTTCGTGTGGGGTGAGTGCCAAACGCTGTCTCCTGGTACTCATCTGAGTAACTCACTAAAAAGGTTATGTGCACCCCTGCATATACATTTAGATTTTGGACTATTAAACCTGCAATAAGTGATTAAATAATCAACAGTCAAACAAATCCTTTTCACCAACTATACTAATTATTGTTTAGTGAGAAGTCACATGGAGTAGAGGTGGATTTTTAGGGAGAGTTTGGTTTCGTTAAAGTTAAGATTTAATTATTTGGACAGTATTCAGACAGAACGCCTATATAGCGGTGCAGGGATGACGTATTTACCCGAAAGTAAGCTGCGCATGGGTTCCCTCGACAAAAAAGCAATGGGATTTCTCCATAGGATTTTGGAAAATAGCTCGAAATAAGGTCTGTGGAAAACGAACCTCTTTGATAAATGCACGTTTTGTTCAGCCGGATAATCTCCACATGTCTACCCTACTTTTATAATTTTCGAATCATAAATCTAATCGCCAGAAGCAAAATGCTAACGTTATGCTATAAACGAACTACAGCCGAGTACAGCAGGGTCGCACGACTTCAACGTCACGTTAAGATCGATATTCAAAAATACAGATTCAAAATTGTACAAGTTGAAGCGTTTGTTTTAACAGTTTGCAGGAGGCAGGTACTTGCTTTCAAGCAGAACAGGGGCAAACAAACTTAGAGGAGTGTTTACGTGTTCGGCGTAATGACGTAAAACGTCCTCGACAACTTCTGTAGTCCTATTCAGCCACTTGTTAACAACCATCGTTTTTCAGACACGTAAACTCTTCATAAATCACTAGTGGGGTCACTGCTCATGTATTTAATGTCGCAGAACAAAACGTGATCCGTCTCTTAAATTTGTGTCAACCACAGACCTTATTTCCAGCTATTTTCCAAAATCCTATGGCTCTGAGACGAGGGAACCGGTAGTGGTAAAATGCTAACTCACTTCTGGGTTTTAGGACTCGTCACTGCACCACTCTATTGTTGATACCCTCCATACTCTAGGAGACAATGAATGGTGCCGTCCCAAGGCCATCTGCCACACAAGCTCCTCCATCTGCATGGACATCATTAAACAAACAGACCTTGAGTCACAGTGAGTATTCAAATGTTTGCTCTCAACATCACATCTGGCAGCAGTCCAACAGCTTTTGTTAATCAGTTTATTTGGATTGTGCTGCTGGCCACTTTTGTCACAGTTTCGCAAGAGTCTTGTAAACCTTTTTTGGTTTTCTCCATACTCTCATCTAAAACAGGTTAATATATTTGACAGGGTCTTTACAGGTTGCTCTGGTTGTAACCATGGTTTCCCGTCAAATGTAAACCTTCAGCCAACATAGGGTATTTTGACTTTTACTTAAAAAAATTAAATAAATGGACGAGCAGTTAGAAGTTAGATATTCTAAGTTTGCCCAAAAAAAGCTACTCTTATTTATTTCAAAAAAAATAAAGGGTTAAAGCTTCCCCATCATCTGCAATTCAAGTCAACAGTTACATTACAGGTACATGTTATCCCTTGAGCTACATTTCCAGATGAATTCCTTTATTTAAATTGTGTTCTTCCTGTCAGGTAATTTACATAAACAAGCACGGAGACTAGATATGCATGATGATGTGTTCACATGCAGCTTTCCATGTTGCTCTCCCGCACGAAACATTGACGTGTAGCCATTTCCTCTCATGGTTCTTCTTAATAGTAAATGTTCACTCTTCTGAATGTATATAGTAAGTACTAAGTAGCGGAAGAGTGCTTACAAAGGCTTTTAAAGTACTGTCAGATATGGCCCTCTATGCAAAGGCCATAACACTCACTGCAAGAGCAAGGTGGTTTTACAGTGTTCACAACAGATAGTGACGCTTGCAAATCTCAGCGGGTAGAAGACATAAAGAAAATATAAAAACAGGCAGCTCAAAACAGCCAATCGCCTGACATTGATGAACCACAACAGGTAAAAAGTGTTTTGATGGGTTGATACAGCCGTTAGGGGTTACAGGAGCCAGATACTTTCAACAAATAGTCACTTTAAGATCCTATTACTTGTAAACATGTGGTGTGAATGCATTCATGAGAGACATACACATGTTTTTACAAAATGGCCCGGTATTATTCTTTATCTGCTTCAAAATAGAATAACTTTGTGCGAAAGATAAAATACTGGATGATAAATAACTTGTAAAGATTAACGATTCAATTTCTTTTTGTGTTTTGATGTCAGTCATCAAAAAAGCAGCTCCTCCATTAGTTTTTCAATTAAAAAAATACCTTGTCCGTTAAAATTGCAACAGTCGGCGAGTTGACATGCTACTACACATCTTTTAAATATTATTACGCGCACTACGAGGGGGACCCAAGTTCCCATTAGCAAAAACACGTCGGTTTGCTATCCTGGCTCCAAAGTGGTGGAATGAGCTCCCCATTGACATCAGGACAGCAGAAAGCTTACATATCATCCGGCGCAGACTAAAAACTCATCTCTTTCGACTCCACTTCGAGCGATAGAATTACTAACAAAGCACTTACATACTAACAAAGCACTTATATACTAATAAAGGACTGGCTTATCTAAAGCCAGTTGAGTAGCACTTGAAATGTTTTGGCTCTATGAAACCTGATGTACTTATATGATTGTTTTCTTCAAGTTTGTATATTCTTGGTCGAATGCACTTATTGTAAGTCGCTTTGGATAAAAGTGTCAGCTAAATGCAATGTAATGTAATGTAATGTAATGTATTACTATCAAAATAAATTACAACATCACAGGAACAAACTCTGCAAATACACACACGTGTAAACCTGTCACAACAGTGTACGGACAGTAGACTGTGGTGGAATGTAACTAAGTACATTTACTCAAGTACTCGTACTCAGTTGAGTATTTTCACGTTATGCTACTTTATACTTTACTACATTTTAGAGGCAATTTTTGATTAATAGTCTCCACTACATTTATTTTAATATATAATTACTAGCTACTTTGCAGGTAGGGATTTATAATACAGAATATAAAACAACTAATGAATCATTATATAAGATTATAAATTAAGCTATGTATTGAACATTGACATTAATGCATTCATTATTATAATACAACAATGTAATAATTGTACTGCCATACTGTAAAATTAGTACTTGTTGTACTTTAAGTATATGTTGATGAGGAAAAATGTTGTACTTTTACTTGAATACAATTATGAATGCAAGACAGAGTATACTGTAGTATTGATACTTTAACTGAAATAAAAAGATTACTTCTGACACCTCTGAAAGTAGATTTAATCAGGAATGACTGGTGAAAGTTCACAAACCAGTTGCACATTTAATAGATTTCAAGAAGGCAAGATATATAGTATAACTAATATTGAAATTAATGTTTTAATTCACAACTACCCTGAGAGAAAGAGCCATAGCATTCATCCGTTTGCATATCACATATATATGTATTACTACAAGCACTAACAAGCAGTATTTATTCCACTGTACAATATGTAACTTGACATTCCGTCTCTGTTTACCTTGTTCTATTGACATGTATATACACCTCTTTATTGACTTAGTCACTGCCAACATTCTCTGCAACATTTATCTTATTACTACTCAGTTTCTTCTTACTCTATTTGTGTTATTGTTGTGTTATGTCTTATATATATATATGCATATGTTTATGTTGCATTGTTGGAGGAGCCAGGGACTTAATATGTTCATTTCCATATCTACACTGTAGCTACTGTGCATATGACAATAAAGCCTTTGAATGCTATGTGTTTTGTGTTTGTGTGTATATGGTATCTGTACGGGGGGGCATTACACCCCCAACCCCCGCAGCCATTCATGGAAATTATTCGCCCCTGTACTTGTAAGATTAGATAACACTGTGACAATGTACTTAAACAAATACAGAATCAAATATATCCATAGTCGGCTACTGCAAAAAAACAAGCGGAACAGCATGCCAGCACCGGCTCCCGTTAACCGGCTTAACGGTTACCGGAACCGTTAGCCTTGTTAGCTTCAACCTAGCTAGCCAGTTAGCTTGCACTTTCCCACTTGTCTTGACTTGCCCGCGTCTTGATTTCCGCTAACCTAGGCGATAAGGCGCTAAACTAAAGACAGCTAGTGGAAAGCAACACTGATGCTAGAAGGAACAGTATGTACACACAAAGGAGCAGACCACCTACCTTCAACCTGCTTAGCCCACCACAGACCTCAACAACCTTGGTTTCCCTTTAAAAAACCAGCGTTTTCTTAGCAGACGATGCTAGCCGCTAAATGACTTCCGGTTGTGCTTTTCAAAATAAGACTGGAAGAAAAGCTTTATCGAATATTATACAAAGCAAATTTCGATTCTTTATCAGAGGTGGAAGAAGTACTAGTATAAAATACCACAGTCTGGGAATACTCAGTTACAAGTAAAAGTCCTGCATTGCAGATGGTACTCAAGTAAAAGTACAAAAGTATTAGCATCAAAATGTAGTTAAAATACCAAAAGTAAAAGTACTAATTAAACAGACTGGTCCATTTTCTAATAATATATAGTATACGTTTTGATTATAATTATTGATGCATTAATGTGTTTATCACAGCTGGTAAACATAGAGCTTATTTTAATGACTTTGTATGCTGCAGGGTCATTTGTCAGCTGTAACTAAAGTCTTATTTAAGTGTTGATTATATTTCACATAATTAATCCCAATCTGCAAAATAACAAAATTAAATGTACTGGAGTAAAAGTACACACTTTACCTCTATAGTTGAGTAGAAGTACAAAGTAGCATACAATTAAAATACTCAAGTTAAGTACTATCTCACATGTGTAATTAGGTTGTGTACTTGAGCAAATATACTTTACAACTCTGTTCTGTGTATGAACTTTATATATACAGTCTATGGTATGAACTCATTGATTTCATGGCACTGTTTTGATGTCACAAATATGTTTTTACAAGAATACATAACTGAACTTGAACATCTGGAATGAGATTAATATCATAGTTTACACTTTGTCATTATGCATCTGTATAAGCATAGGCGTCATTTGCGCTTGGGACGCTGGGGACATGTCCCCACCACTTTTTGAAATGGCCAATATTGTCCCCAACACTTTTCAAAAGTATAACTTGTACATTTTCTGAAACATAGCGTGCACAAAGCATATTCCAGTCAAATTTTACAGGACTTCTACGTTTATTCGATTTACAAGGCGACACAAAGATATTGTTAAAAAACATTTGTTTGAACTCATCACCAGTAGCAACCATCAATTTTTCACATCTGTTCCAGAAAAACTCAAGGCTAGTGTGGAGCCGGGTTTCCTGAATATGTCATTTCGAAAAGACTGGACTTAAGCCTCTGTTTCTTTCTAACTTTACCAAACTTCAGGTTTTTTTTCCCATTTAAAAAAAACCTCCATTCTGACAACAACACGGTTATCTCGATAGGGACATTCTGGCTATGACTTCATCATTTCTGAAATACAGCCCATAAATAGGATGTGGCTGAGAGGACTTTGACTTTGAGTCAGTAGGTGGTATAGGTTCGATCCCAGCCAATGGGTCCAATCCCAGCCATGCAGGTATCGTATTGATTTATATCCTGTGTATTGTGCTGCTTGTTAAATGGGTGTGTGATCTCACTGCTATGGTGGAGGAGAGCTTCAAAATCAAAGATGTTAAAAATCCCATCCCTAACACTCCTGCTACTGGTAGTAGCAAAACCTTTAATAGCAACACAATTTTCAACGCTAATAAACATTTATATCTGGCTCTTGATGGCTCTGGAGTGAAACACACAGCACAATATATTTTGTAAAACTACAGATCCATAGGGATTTTAAACTACATTGTCAAAAAGACCTCTGGATTTAAAAAAAAGGCTTTTTTTTTGCCATAGCCGTTATTTGTACACGTCATAGTGGGAAAAGCACAGGTGCAATTAATGACAGTAATTATCTCTGACACAAGACTCCCACCCACACATCGGTGCTGTCCAACCAAAGCCTCAGCTGCTCCTCTGGGGTTTATTTCATCATAGACGTTTAAAATCTGTGACTTCATTCAGTGGAAAACAAATGGATACTGAGATGGAATATTATAGGCAACTAGAGAATGCAATTCCTGAAGAAATTGCTAGTGGGAATGCTTTATGCTGAAAAGCTGACGCTGAATTGCTATGCTGAAATGTAATGTGTAAGAAGAAAGTGAAGAATTTAGATTGAAATGATACATGAACACTAGGGGCTTGAATGTGTGATAAGAGAAGAAAAGAAAGTATAAAAAGCTTGGAAAAGCAGCAGAATATTTCAACTGCAAACTATTGAACTAACTTAATGGCGAATGATCTGTCGCCATGACAACGGTATTTGATGATACCCCATAATACGCTTAGATATGTTGATGGCTGCATCGTTACCAAACCTGTGAAGTTTTGGGCTGTTTGGAGCATTTTCACTGAAGTTATGAGAAAACCGTGTTTCATGGCGAGCATTTCAAGAAATCTCAAAACTGTCCCGCAGATGTCTTCACAGCTGGACTGTTAGCACACATGTGAAGTTTTAGCACTTTTTGACAATTTTCATAGGAGTTATAGCAATATCGTGTTTTATTGCAAGGGATGCGTTGCCATGGCAACATCTTTTGAGATTAACTAAAGGTGTGCGGCTGCTGCTGTGAGGAAAGATGAGCCTGAATGTACAATGGGCTTTAATGCAGACATGTTGAACGTTTTTGTCACTTCATGCCCTCAAGAGGCATTTTGTTTAATTGTTTTGCTTAATTTTTCTTAATCGTTTCTCATGAAAAATTATGTCTCAGGAATGTAGGGTTTGGGAATTATGGCAGGTTTAAAAAAAAATATATGAAGGCGAATTTCAATCTGTCCTCCACTCTAGCTGTGACATCACGCACTCTAAATCTGAAGAAGGCCTCTTTACCAAGGTCTGAACAATGTTTAATATCTCTAAAAGTATGAATCAGATTTAAAAGTTGTATTACACGAATAATGTCAGAAAGATGTGTAACATTTTAAAGTTGGAATGAGGTTTCTGAGTGAAAGTATGAAGGAGCAGTTAGCAGTTGAAGTTGCATGAAGATTGTTCAAGTCTGAAGAGTTTCTCCATTGACTTCCATGTTAAAAATGTGATGAATTATGGGATGTATCTCTGTAATTATGAAAGTTATGAATAAGAAAAGTAATAGCAATTGATTCCCGACCCAGCTGAACGTTTTGATGTTTGAACGGAGTTTCTGCGATGTGGAATGTGGGAGAAGAAGAGCAGCAAAATAACCCGGCGGAATAATAAAGAATTTTGTGCGTAGAAGTAGTTGGAATGCTGTATCAGCATTCCCACTAAATTAATCAGAAGTGCATGTGCATAGTATCATAATTTGCAGAAAGTGCAGTAAGTAAGTAGGCCTACAGAATGAGTGATGCTACAATTGACAAAGTACAGATGTTATAAATGTAAATATATTAAATATGTTTTAGTCAGAGTATAGATAGTCCAAATGTATATAATAGATAAATAGTAACATTTCCGAAAGTAGTAAAAGGTGCACTAGTTTTAGGTGATACCCCAACATATTCTGATTATAATCAGATGTGATAAAGAAAAGCTACAAATCATCATAATTGAGAAGCTTGAATCACCAATTGTTTAGAGTTTTAGCTTAAAAATATGGAAGTAAAGATGAACTGATTATCAAAATATTTGCAGATTACTTTTTTAAATGCATCTAAACTAAATGAAGCTCAGCGCAAGTTCTTTCAGGTATACATACCCGTTTCAGATCCTCGTAGCAGATATCAAGCAAGAGCGAGGGGAGAAGACCTCCATCGGCAGAAACACGGGTACGTCCGGCCGTCTCGGCATAAGCGAACAAGCCGATCCGGTATCAGAACGGAGTCGAGGCCCCTCGATCAGCTGATCCGCGAACACGGAAGTCGCATTACGCACAAGCCGACCGCGAGCAGTTCTTATTATACATCCATGGAGCAGGCCCTCTACGCCGCATTCAATCCCTCCCAGGAAATTCAACCAGCAGATAAGTGACGTTTATCCGTGTTCACAGCACGTTTAGGCATGATCGCCTCCGTGTCTCATCAGATTCGTATCTCGGCACCCCTTTATGGGTTGGGGCAGTCCGGATAAAATAATAATATATTTAAAGAATGAATAAATATAAAAGAAAGAAAGAATGCACAGGTTCTCCTTCATACTTTCATGCATATAACTGGTGGTGCAAACCGTGCTTGCTTTTATGATCATACGATCCCCTCTATCTGGTACTTCAATAGCAGACCTCAGCTAATGTCTCAGTGCACACTTTTCCGTCAAGCATAAGGAATGGATGCAATATAAACAACTCATGCTCAATGTAGTCTTGCAGTGTATGTCTCTCACAGCAATGAGTCACTCACTCAGCTCACGTTTTAATCATCTGCAGAATACCTTCATTGCATTACATTATTCATTAATCAGCACTTCTCCAGAACGGTTTCATCTAATTGTATCCCTGTCCTGTACATTCTCTGTTTTATAATGATTGCTTATTCTGCCCTTATGCGTGTAACCACAGGCATTCCCTATCCGACCTGATATCCGCACCGTACTGGCTAATCAAAAACTCTTAAACTCCTACGGTAAGCTATGCATATAACTGGTGGTGGTGTATCACATCCTTCTAAGATAATGTTTTACCACATGCTATGCCTCTCTCACTTATCCCAGCAGACTGCCTGAGCGATCAGAAGTCTTGCAATAGCAGACTGCCTGAGCGATCAGAAGTCTTGCAATAGCAGACTGCCTGAGCGATCAGAAGTCTTGCAATAGTAGACTGCCTGAGCGATCAGAAGTCTTGCAATAGCCAGCAGACTGCCTGAGCCATCAGAAGTCTTGCAATAGCAGACTGCCTGAGCGATCAGAAGTCTTGCAATAGCCAGCAGACTGCCTGAGCCATCAGAAGTCTTGCAATAGCCAGCAGACTGCCTGAGCCATCAGAAGTCTTGCAATAGCAGACTGCCTGAGCGATCAGAAGTCTTGCAATAGCCAGCAGACTGCCTGAGCGATCAGAAGTCTTGCAATAGCCAGCAGACTGCCTGAGCCATCAGAAGTCTTGCAATAGCAGACTGCCTGAGCCATCAGAAGTCTTGCAATAGCAGACTGCCTGAGCGATCAGAAGTCTTGCAATAGCCAGCAGACTGCCTGAGCCATCAGAAGTCTTGCAATAGCAGACTGCCTGAGCGATCAGAAGTCTTGCAATAG